GAAAAGACAACTGATTGAACTAGATTTAAAATATAAAAATAGAATTTGATTTATTCTCTACGCTTTGATAGAGAATTGAGAAGGATTTTCTTAGTAGAGGAATGAGAAGCAAAATTCTTCTCTTTAATTGAAACTACGTTATAGTGTCTGAAATAAAAAAAAATTATTATTGTCTGATCTCTAACGGGCAAAACAATAGAAAGTCATAACAACACTAGAAATATTCTTATCAAAGAGAAAAAATGCAAAATTAACGTCTTCTATATATTTCAAGATGGGTTCTGATATATTTTGCATTTCTATCTAACCACAAATCACTTGAAAACTAAAACTTACATATAAAAAGTTGCTCTTTAAAAACAAAAGTTGAAGAATAGTAAAACTCATTATTGATGAATTATAAAATGACAACAAATGTCACGCATCACTAGTTCAAAAACAAGTATCTTCCTCTATTTGTATAGCATCAAACCACGTATTTAGATCAGTTTCAAATAAGTTCTTTTTATATCAAATGCTATTCTCAATTAAATGTAATAGTTAAATCAGATAGATACAGAAAAGTTCTCAATCAAAATGGTAAAAATGCTAGTATCATTATGCGAAATTCAACAAAGAATCATCTATTTCATTTTCACCATCTAGTAAACTATACATAGTTAAATCACACGTAAATAAATAAGTTTTCAGTCAGAGAAAGTTTATTCAAAATTTTTGCGTCTTAACTCAATCAATCACCCATGTATTATTGTACTGCAATCGAATAAAATCGTTTCTCCTTTTTCTAGTTCGGAAGATTCATAAGAATTTGAAAAGATTTTTCGTTTCTTTTTTTTCATATGCTTCAAAATGGTCAACTGAATTTGAAACGAGCTATTTTAATAATCAAATTTCTCTCAAATCTGACATAGCACCTAAAAAAGTGAGCAGAACTGTGAAAAACTTAAGAGAAAAAAAATCTATTAATCTACTTTTGTATATATGAATTTTTTTTAATTTTTACATACATAGTAGGATATATATTTTTGTCTTGAAAAAGAGTTATTTATATATTAAGTTTATTGCTCAATCATGTTGCACTCTCACGAAACAGAGAATAAAAAAAAAATTTTCTATCGGATATGGACGTCAATAAAAATCTTTTCATAATGTTTCTCAAAAGAAAAATAAGGATGTCTTGTCTTTCAAGTGACATTTTTCATGTGAAATTCAATAAACAACCATATTTCATTTTTCAGATATGAGAAAGTATTACTTTTCTTTTTTAAAATGAGTCATTTTCATGTAGAATTTTATTCTACATTCCGTTGTGTTCTAAGTAGAAATAAAAGGACAAAATTAATATTGTTGAACTGGAAAAGAATGTAGCATTCAAATTCGATAAATGAAATTCTTGTCTGAATCTTTCAGAGAACAAAAGTGATATTTTCTAGATCTTAAAATTTTCTCTTTTTAAATTTAATACTCAATCGCATCACTCTCAAGATATTGAATAGAATAAAAAAGTTTTACCATTGTTAAATTTCAAAGATATAAAGTCTCATATAAATGTATAGAAAAAATTCGAATAATTAAACGGCACCCTCTCAAGTCGATAGTAATTCGGAGACATAGATTCGGTACCCGTTCTCCTCTTATCATTTTGCTTTAATCCATCTCCATATAATTGTTCGAAACTTATCCAAGTTAACATGGACAAGCCAAGTATTTCCTTAGTTTGTTAACTTTTCCAATTAGTCTATCAAACATCTCAACGAATTTTATTAATATATAGTACATATGATAAACTTACAAGTAACGCTCGTCGCTACAACTCGCTTAGCCCTCGACTGAATTTTATCTATCATTATCAGTTACTGATCGCCGGATTCTGCTCTGAGAACCACGCTGGATACATGTGCGCATATACACGGATTGTTAGTGACGACTATTCTATAAGATTGAATCTTTACACTTTCTGCTGAGACTTTCGTATGACAACGTAAATCACAGGTCGCAGTCGAACGTTGCTGTCCCTGCTGAACTCCACCCATCACTTCTCGGTTTCTTATATGAGATGGGCATAGACCAATGTAAAACTTCATTGTCTTGTTCAAAAAATCGTTTAGAAGAAACAAAAAAACCAAAGGAAATTTAAAAGACAGCGACTAGTCGTTTGTCAGCGCCCCTGCGGGGCGCCACTCACGGCTAGCCGCTTCCATGTTGAAGGACACTTCAACATGAGTTCAGTCTCTTCTATTTAGGACCACACTCATTAACATTTCGCTGGCTCAAAAGAACTGCAGGATCTACAACGGAAAGATCCTGTACAGGTAACTCAAAATGAACAGGCAAAGGCACATACATCTATAAACAGGTGCATTATGTCCATATTTATGGAACATCGCTATGAAATCTTGGTTATTTTTTTTACAAATAATGAATATTGAAATGCATGAGTTTCTCAAAATCTGATTGTACGAAAGCTAGATTTTTCAAAACATTCCATTGGCTGAAGTTTCAAACAGACAGAATCTGATTAGTCAAAAGTGCGATATGCGAAGTCCATCACTGACTGAATTCTCAGATTCAACAACCTCATTGTACGAAAGCCATATATTGAAAATAACTGAGCAGTGATCTTTAGACCGATGTTCTTTTGAGGCGGCGACAAACAACCTTATTTTGTTTGATGTGATCCTCCCTTCGTCGAAAAATATACCAGTCTTGGTTTCGTCACTTCTGTTACTATTGATTTACAAGTATATCATATCTTAAACGTTGAATGTATAAAAAAATGATCTCCACAATTATAATAATAGAGATTGGACTCTTTCATTAAAGATTATTCTTTTTTACTCCTTATCGAAGACAAGACTTGAAAATGCTCACATATGACATACAGTCGGTTAATTCCAACAAATTCATTTTTTGTTATAAGCCGAATCTTAATACACTGTTTAAGTGAAATGAAATTTCCTTCTCTATTTATTCTTTTTTAAGGAATTCATATTACGCATCACTCTCACTATTAGTGAACCTCATTAAGTTATATGTTGTCTCGTTTGCTACTTTTCAAAGTTGAAATTAGGTTACAATGATTCACTTGTTATCGTTTATTCTTTAATCATATTTAGTTCTTGAGATCTAACCAGAGACCGATTCGAAGAGTCCGACGCACCATTACCAACTTCGTGTCATATTGTTCTAATCAGCGCTTCCATGAAACCTACCTCGTTACAAAAACCATCATTTCCTTAAAAAAGGCTTTTTTTAAGCAAAAAAATTAGTTGAAAAAAATCCAAAAACTAATGGTACCATTCGATTCCTTGACCCCGAAAACCTTTGGGCAAACGTTCACCATTGACTTTTAAAGCTGTGATGGGTTTTTTCTAAGAACATGTTTTTTTAACCTTTGACCTTTGACAAGCAAACGCATTTTTTTTGTATGACCCTCCCTTCACTCGAGGAAATATTCTATTGACCAATTCATCTCATCGTAGCTGAGATAATTTGATACAGTGATCTTTTTACTCATTACTTAAAAGCAATATTTTTCCTTCTAAAACAGGTTAACGGTGGTAGACTGTTTTCTTATCATTTCTCATTTAAAAAACTATTCATTTCTAGTGATATTTTCATAAACATTTCATCTTCTTGTATGAGATATCTAACAACTATTTGAGTTTCTTATCACGTTGCATAGGATGCAAGCACGATGCATGCATATATATATATATATTTGCCTTTTATAAAAAGTATAGTCGGTCTTTGAAAGTGTCCAATGTTCCATTATCGTGTGTCGTTGAAAATTGCAGGTATATAGTTTCATATTACCAGCACAATAATATAAGGAGTTTTCTCTGAAAATAATGAAGTTTTCAACATTCATAGTGTTCACAAGTTTTAGCATTAGAATGTCGAGTTTTTTGGAATTATTGACTGACAAACATGATTAGTACCATTCATAGGATCTTTGTTTATCATCAATTAATACCTTTATTTGATGAGCAAGTAACAAAGTTTAAACCTGAAATTTATAACGGGGAACATGTTTTATAGTTTTGAGAATTTAAAAAAACTTCAAATGGAAAGCATGTATTCAATTGGAACTATTGCATTTTTGAAAAATACTTATAAACTAAGAAAAAGTGCTAAACGTATATGTTTAGAGATGCAATATTTCAACAGTGACAACACATCATGCAAAGTACACGACTATTATTTCTTAAGCTCCTCTATTGCTTTTTCACGATTGATGTTAGACTTTTCGCTGCTGAACAAGTATCAGATCATTTATTATCCTTACGAAAATATTGTTTAATGCTTTAAAATAATCGAAAGAAGCTAGGACCAATCTAGAGAGCTATTTCATAAGTGCGATGACAGAGGGTGAGGATGAGAGTTAATTCGACAGTAGAAATGTACCAATTTCAGTTAACTGTAACTGCCGGGATTGGGTATGCACTAAACGTTTTCCCACTAACACTGATTGATTCTTGTTCTATGAATACTAGTTGTCATTTCATGTTAGACTCCGTTGGACTGGGTGCCTCACCAAGGATATTTGTAAAATACACGAAAACCCCAAATTGAAAGTTAGTACTATCACTAAATAGGGCTTGTAGAGTTAATTCTACGAACAGCAATTCGATAAAAAGTTTTTCAAAAAACACTTTGTATAGCTAGCATCTATCTGTAACCAAGATGCTTAATCTGGAGTTTTTTCACGAGCAGTTTTTCATTTGTTCTAGATAGCTAACGTATTGAATGCAATGAATCAGACGTCGTACGAAAACATTGTGACGCATCCACCACTACTGAATGATATTGTCCTTCACGAAGACGATTTGACCAAGGACGCCAAGAATCAATTTGGCTACCATACCGATATTTTACGCGCGTTTGAGAAGTATCGTCGCAGCATACTTGACAATGAGTTATTGACGAGTGTTGGTCGACACTTGCTTTTCTCCAGAATTGATGGGCTATATAAACAAAGTAAACAAGTACTTAATTACATGGCAGCGAACAACGAGCTTCTCCGCCGAAGTTTGCCCAATGTAGGCCCTTTAATCATTTGTGGACTGCCACGTACAGGTTCGACATTTCTCTACAATTTACTTGCTTGTGATCCCAACTGTCGTGCTCCACTTTTTACCGAAATGCTTATCGATCCTGTTCCACCCATTTCACGTTCAAATTTAATTGAACACGAACGACGTATAACTAAAGCAAGATTGGCTGCACAGCTGTCCGAACAACTAGTAGGTCGACCGAGCAAAGCGACTGCGTCTCATCCACGTTTTTCTATTGAACAAGATCAATTCATATTGCAGCAAGCAGGTGTCATTCTTGGACTCACGAATATATGTCCTCTCCAGCAGACTGAGGTTGAAGATTGGTTCTACGATCAAACAAACAAAAACTTTGCTTATGATTATCACAAGACATTCTTGCACATGTTAAATTCTTATGATGCGCCCACTTCTCACTGGCTGTTGAAAACACCTGCACATGTTCTCTATCTCGATGCACTACTCTCTCATTATCCACATGCGTACTTGATCATGACTCATCGACGTCTCGACGAGGTGCTACCCTCGTTTTGCCGTTATATTTGGGAACTACTCAGTATTTATCTTGATGAAAATGATCCAGCAAGTCGCCCTACACTGAAGACACGAGCTCTTCGACACATCAATAAAATGATTCAACGCATTATTGAGTTTCATACTCGCTCTAACTGTTTGCACAAGGTCATTTTTGACGTCACTTACGACGATTTAATCAAGCATCCGATCGTCACTGTTCATCGCATTTACGAACATTTCGGGCTCCATTGGTCGCACGAATTTGAAGTGGCCATGTCTGATTGGCTTCGCAATAACCCCCAAGGTAAGCATGGTCGAAACACTTATACTCTAGGTGACTACGGTCTTTCGTATGAAGATATCAAAGAACGCTATGCTGATTATACACATTTATTTCTCCATTCATCGGCCTTATCTCAGCTCGATAACGATAGTGCTAGCAATGAGCCATCTTCAATACCAAGAATCCAATGATATCTTTAATCATTTCCATGGTATTTATCAAAATAATCGTGATCCATAGGATGAGAAACTATATTTAATACAAAAATACCGAAAAAAGTTCTCCTAATTAAAAAATAAAAGAGATTTTATAAATATATGTATATTTAGGCACCATAAATATTATCCTAGACGACTGCCATCGACTTCCGACGATTTCTAGGAGATAGCTTTTCGGGCTGAAAGTCGTCGTATTTCTTTGATGAATGTCGATCATTTTCGTGGGCCGGAACCATCTAGGCACTGAATATATACTTATAATACTGTATAAATTATCTCAAAGCGTACAGTCTTGAACAAAAGGCTCGATACAGTATGCCTATAATGATTTCCTCTACGGTATCTTCACTATCCATCGAATCTATGTTATTGATACATGAGCGGTAACGGAGAAAGATATAGGCTATCCACGTTCTAGAGATTGAAAATTCTATGCAATTTCCAAGTGTACACAGAAAAACAATAATATCTATTGCTGAACAGTTTATGCAACTTATCCAATCTGAAAATTTTCGGGCATTCCACTTGATCATGCTTAGAAGAGGTCGCTTTCATCCTCAAAATAGCTGAAACGAATAAACTCTTTTCTATTCCACAGTGTTTCTAAAATGCAAAACTTTTGCCAAACATAGAGTCACTACCCTGAGGGTGAGAGGTGAATATGAAATTAAATTTATCGAACGAGAAAGCAGAAAAGAAGGATTTCTTTCAAGAATTCTCTATTATCGTTTCATTTATCCACGATATCGTAGTCATAATTAGAGGTGTAAGCCGTGCGGCTGAGCCGCCTTCGCCGCCGACAGACTCGAAAAATTTTAAGCCGCCGCCGCCGTGACAGTAGAAATTTTAGAAATTTTTAAGCCGTCGCCGCTGAGACACTTTAATTGCAGCCGCCGCGCCGCCGATGGTAT